GGGAGGGCTCGACTCCACCCTTCCAGGTGCTTCTTGAAAGCGTGTTAGTTAACTTGTATGAAATTGTTTTCTTTAATTTGCCACTGATATATCAGCCCAGTCTTGAAGCCGGTGGTATAGTGAACTCCTCACTACCTATTGTCACCTACACCAATGTTACCGAGCATCAATTGACTTTCAAGATGTTCTACCCAACAGGTAAGATGTCAAAAAGCTGTCAAGGACAATCATTTTGTTCAACTCAGTAGGAACATTGGTTCGAGCAGTATTATCTCCAAACGGCGATGATCCCAGCAACCAGAATGACGTTCCTCTTTCAGCTGAGATTATAGTAACGCAGGGTATGTTCAATGCTATTTTGTGGGTTTTGAATGTTGATGGAAATTTCATTAGGAGACAAGGATGATTGTCTGGTCTCTGCTAATGCAAGCGAGACTCAAAATGTTTCAGAAACTCTGATCAATCACAAGTAAGCGTTTCCCTCATTATAGCATGTTTGAAACATTTCTTGAAGCAACTTTGTTAATGTGAATTCATAATCTTGCTTTGGAAGAGTTTTCCATTGACTGGGTAGCCGTTACATTTTCTGACTCTTTTTTTTTAGCAATGCACAAGTCCCACAGTGTTCACCATTTCAAGTTGACTGGCCCGGGAATGGGCGAGAGGCACTGTATGTTCTATTTTGCCTTCATCAAAATCCCAGGTTTTTGATCATTTTATGTAGCTTTCAACTCCAAAACCCCTCTCCAGAGTCTTCTGCAGCTTCGCCTGATCTCATTGAATTCCTGGCTGATGGTCATTTCATAAACCACACAATCACTTTCAACCTTCCATACTTGAGTGGAACACAGCTCTCTCTCTTCCTGACGAATGACTCAGCTTTCATATCCAATTTTACTGTAATTACAGAACATGGTAAAGATTTTTGTATTGTCATTTTTATAATTCGTTATATTGAATGTCAAATGCATTATGTTTAGGCGACGACAGCTGCTTACTTGTCCATTCTTCATCTACAACCTCCTCAAGTTCCCAAACAGGTACTCAGACAAGCCCAAGCACTACCTTGCCCTCTTCGGGTTCGGGCAATACACAAGGTATTTTAAACTACTCCAGCAGTGTATCTAACGTTCATTTACGTGATATTTCCTTTTAATCAGGCTCATCTATACCGAACTCTACAAAAATTATTATTGGGGTTGCTGTTCCGGTTGTAGTTCTGATCATAGCTGGAACAGCCCTGATCATTATAAGGAAACGTGCACAAAGTCAACAACACCAAACTAGTGGTGAAGTACACGAAATTGACCCCTTCAATCAGTTTTCCAGAGTATTCCCTACAGGATTGACATCAGATGCAACTGTGGAAATCGATGCATCCCCTATCATGTCGAGCAAGCAGAAGAGTCTGAAACAACGTCTGATGTCAAGTCGCAATCGCAATCCAGTTGTACCACCAACAAATGCAGACCAGTCAGGTTCAGTTGCTACCCAGCATACTAGACCCGCTGTACCTTCACCAGACTCAGAAAGACGAGAGGAACAACAAGGGGGTGATGAAGAACTAGTACAAATAATAAGACATCATGACGGGGGACCAGTTCCTCGAATCGAAGAACTCCCTCCTCTGTACCAAGACATTAGAAGTACATAGAATGTCATACAATTTTTGTTGATGTGTTATTATTTACGATAAAACGCTGCCGCTCCACTGTACTTATCAACTCCGTGATGATTCTGATGTGATGGACTATATTCGCGACCAGGTTAGACGAGTTTCACCTTCAAATACAACTGATCACACCAACCCTCCCATGGAAGCAATCAACCACTCAGACGAGGATTCAACCATTTCTCAGAGTACTCTATCCGACTATCCGTGTCGAGCTCAATCAACGGAAATTGTTGCCGACGTATCTTACATGTCGAACAAGCCGAAGGGCCTGAAAGAAAATTTGATGTTTAATTTTCTCATTGAGGACACGAGACCTTGCGTGTTCTCGACCCGACTACCCAGTGTATTGGAACTGCGGTACCCTTTCCATCACCAGACTCGGAAAGACAAGAAGAGCGGCGGAAGGGTGACTACTAAGACTCGGAACTGTTGCAGATACTTGATAAGTCGTATGAAAAATCAAATAAGTGCTCGAGTAGAAGACTTGACCTCTATATGGTAGGATATTAGATGGACAAGACGAAGCGGTAGAGTTGGGATGGTCAAACCCGGAATCGAACTTTGAGTAATTTGCTGACTAAGCTTGTTTTAGACCGCCGACATGCGACACGCAACTTGACGCAGACGCCCACCAACACACTCTCTCCTTCTTCCGCAGCCTTCTACAGCTTTCCGAGTCCGTTTCTAGTCATTAGCAACACGCATATCTTAGTATAAATTCACAGCTAGCACCAGGACAAACCTGGACCAACTGCTTTAAGGAATGTCTCTAGACCAGTCGGCGCTCACACCGTCTCAAAACGAGGCTCTGAATCAGTTACGCGACCTAACGAACGGAGGTGATGATGAAGTTACTATAGGTGTGCTTGAAAGTGTCGAGTGGGATGTGCAGGTTCGTTTTGACAATAAAATTTACTGACTAGAGCTGCAACAGATGAGGTGTATTGACCTTTTTTTTTCGTGTTATTTGAACAGAGAGCAGCAGAAATGATATTTGGGTCTAACATAAATGTGCCGCCAAGGTCTTCATCAACCCCAACCCGAAACACAGATCTTCACGACTTAAACCATCTTAACAATTTTGAAACATTTGAAGTGGATGACTCTGCTCAAGGTCAAGGGACCGGAAACAATGAGGATGATGAGCTCATACGAAACAGGAATAATGTATGTCTGTTCTGTTGCTCTGATTCTTCGGGCTCGTAGTAAACGATACATACCATCTCTTAGCGCCCCCACCGCGGTCAGAATCAACCCCTTCTCTTGACCATTTTGAGCTATCCCCTCCACGTTCTTTCCTCGCTTTTCCGTTTCGTGTTTACACTGCTCCGGATACCACTCCGGTTCCTCCCTCTACCGTTCCTCGCTCCTCAATTCAATCTGCTGACGTGGTGGTACCGGGGTCCCAGCTCTACTCGGGGCGGAAGCTCTTCTTGGAGCAGCAGCAGTAACGGTACGGGAACGGGAGGCGTCGAAAGATGGATACGAGAACTAGAAGAGGAAACTGGCGCGATATGTCTTGGAAGGACCGCGCCCATTGGTTCTTCCACTTCAACTTCCGTTGGAATGGGCTCGTCTACCTCCAACTTGACTTCTCGAGCCGGTCCATCTACTTCTAACCTCCCTCCGACGGACGCGGATATTGATGAATCGGAACTAGACGCCCTCTTGGGTCCCGAGGAGTCAGAAACCGAAAGACCAGACCCTACGCGCCAAAAATTCCTTCCTGCTTTCCAAATTGGTACATACGAACAGGCTCTCAAGGTCATAGAGAAAGAGACTAGGATTGGATGTATCATTTTGGTCAGTGAGGAGCATGACGACGTTGCGGAGTTCAAGAGGTAGATTTCATCTCTACTGACCTTCTTTCCTCGATACTGACATACCGGTTGTAGAACAACCTTGACCTCTCCTTCGTTCCTCCGGCTCCTGCATAGAAACAATATGTATGTCTGGGGAGGTGACGTGAGAGACAAAGAACCTTGGAGCGCAGCAAAGAAGTTAGGATGTGGAACGGTAAGTTTCGTTTTTCTTTCCAGTTATTTCTGGTTTGCGCCGCGGTCCTTCGATCACTGACTTTCCTCGTTATCAGTTCCCATTCGTAGCATTTGTTGCTCTGCAACCATCTCGCTCCTTCAATTCTTCTCCTCTAGTTCTAATGCTCGCCAGGCATCTCAGCCGACTCTCACAGTCCTCTCTCGTCACACAACCCTCTCCGAATGTACCCCCGCTGCTCTTACGAATCATCTCACAGCCTCTCTCCTTCCTCGTGTAACATCCTACCTCTCTCACATCCGTTCTGCTCGTGCTCAGATCGAGTCTCAACTTGCATCACAAAGGCAAGCTAGGGAGAACGAGCGTCGACTTCGAGAGGAACAAGACCGCGCGTTTGAAGAAACAAAGAGGAGGGACGCGGAAAGGATCAGGAGGAAAGTCAGAGAGGAAGAAGAAGAGAAGGAAAGAGTTAGGCAAGAGGAGGTCAGGGAAAGACAGCGGGTCATAAAGGAAGAAAGGGAAAGGGAAGAGCGGGCTTGGGTCAGAGGGGTTTTGGGGAGGTATCATGGGATCCTTCAGGGACTGGAACTGCTGCGAATCATACGATTCAAGGAGGTTTAGGTGGGATGGGGAAGGCAAACTTAGGATTGCGGTTCGATGCCTGACGGGAAAAGGTTGGTGAGGAAGTTTAAAGGCGGCGGAGAGGACCGGATGGCCAAGGGGAGACGGTGGGGATGCTGTTTGCGTGGGTTGATCTAAACCTTAACTGTCCCACGTCGTCTCCCTTCTTCGTCTTCGTCCCGAGACCCAGAGGATCCCGAGTCCATCGTCGAATCTGCGATTACATCCAAAGCTTCTGAAGGGGGGGCGTCATCAGACCTGGAGCAAGCGTCGAACGAGTGGTGGGGTTTCACACTATCAACCTCTTACCCTCGTCGACCCATCCCTTGGAAGCGCAACCGATATCTATCGCAGGTAGAAGGACTGAATGGTGGAGGAGGACAGGTGGTTGTCGAGCTTGTGCAAAATGGAAATGGGAGCTCGAGAAAGAGCTTGGACAAATCCAGAGGAAAAGAGAAGGAAGGAAATGACGATGATGACTATCTTACTGAGAGCTCAGATGAAGAGTGACATGTCTATGTTAGTTATGTAGATGCAGGCTAACTTATTTGGGTCTGGAAGAAGAGGATTCGTGCTAGGACTCGAGAAAAAACCTTTTTAATTACTACCGTCTAGTGCTTTCGTTTAAGTTATGTCTGGATAGCTGATGGTTATTCATTGTGCCTGAGATGCGAGTCTCTTGAGGTGAAAAAGAATCAGACTTATCCGATGCTCCCTGCAAGGCTCGAACTTGCGACCTCGAGATTACTCACTGCATCAGTGATCCTATGAGACTCGCGCTCTACCGACTGAGCTAAGGAAGCTACATCTTAATGTGATTTTGCATCAATCTGTCCAGGTCACAAGAAAGCTGTCCGGTTCCAGGGAGGCAGTTTTAAAATGAGGACAACATACATACGAATTTGGGAATTTAGAATCCATACACACCTGTTTGCATAGGTAGTTGTCTGAGCATTGAACAATATACTTACTCCACTCACAGCAATTTAGGGAAAACAGGCAGATAAGTATGTAGTTTAAGATAATTCCACCATAGATATATGGGCATTGGGGATACTAAGTTACGAAACCTTCAATTTGTTCCCAGACTTTGGGGATCTAGACCAGACGTGACTTGGAGTGGGTTTCAACAATGGCGTCTTTCCAGCGGCCAGTATTCTGGTTGAAAAACATAAATCGACTCGGACGCATGCGAAATGTGCAACTTGAAGGTCAAAACGACTCAGGGTGGACTGATAAAGGGTAGACCGAAGTAGAAGTGAACGTGAATTTTGTATCAAAGTACATCACCTAAAAATTTTATAGTACAGACCCACCAACTAGACAGGTTAAGTCGCCACATGATGCAACTGTTTTCCCTCTGAAGTGCCGATCTCCTCTTCACGATTAGACATTTCTGTCGGTTCTCCATGGCGGTCGAGACCTGAACTGGAGGTTGAGTCCATCATTCGAGAAGGAATCATAAAGTTTGGTTCCGACGTACTGTTACTTCCATGATGGTCAGAGTCCCGTCCGGTAAAAGGACGATTGGATGCGAATTGTATTGGTTGAGAAATGTCTCCTAAATAAGTTGTTTCGTATAGAGATTTTTGTAAGGAAACAAGGTAGATGACTAGTGTTGGATAAATATACTGTTCAATAGAATGTTAACTCGAGTTTTCTGGTGAGTTCATATGGGTCTTTACCGTGATGTGAGGAAGTACGACCACCATGACTCCATCGACTTGGACGGGAATAGGCCCCAAAGCAGCGATTATTCTCAGAGCCTTCGAAAGCCGTCAGCACTATCACTAGAGATTTAAAACGATTGCGATCGAGAACGTACCCATACAAAGCAATAAATACACCCCGACTCGACCAAAAGCTTGAGAACACTCTCCGAACGCGTTTGTTTATTGTACTCGTTCCACAGAATTTTCACTTGTTTACGAAATGTCCTACACACGATGAAGTTTCAAGCGTCAGCTATAGATAGCCCCTCGGTAGAATTACTTATGACGGACCAGGTTTTGTACCAAATGAATCCCGTTGCGACGACGTTGGTGATGAAGAGGGGAAGAAGTAGACGAAGTCTTTCTACTCCTAGATCGCTATTATCGGCAGTGAGGGGACTTTCGATGAGATCTCGAATGTTTAAGCCTCCATCGACAAATGCGCAAACTAGAGGCAGGATGAATAGAATTGTTTAGAATTACTAGGGACATGCGATAGTACTCACCTGTAGAACCCATCATACAAATGGTTAGAATGATACAAAAAATTGGTCGTCTCGAAAATAGTATCCATGCTCTCCAAACTACTATTGCGTCACCGATAATATACTGAGAATAGGAGAGGAAATCTATGAGTTTCACGATTCCAATAGTGGAATTCGACGAAAAAGCATCTGGCTACGCATTTGGATGACAAAGAAGCCAAGAATCCTCCCTTTATTCCGGAGAGTAAAATTTTTCAGTAATAACAGTTTGCTGGAAAAAATGGTGCAAGGCGAGATGCTTACTTTCTACCAGAGCTAAACATAAGTAGAGGCAATGAAGCGCAATGTCTGAGCAAGAGCGAGACAAGGTTAGGTCTCCTGATTGTTCTGCTTCAAATGATTCAGACGAAGTCTGCATGCAGATGTACATGTATATCCTCTGTGAAATGTAGGTACAACGACAGTGTGTAAATTACTAGTAAAATCTCGGGAAATCCAGATTTCACTAAAATTTCCCGAAATCCGGGCTGGTATAATTTCTTCGTTTTACGCTGTGCCGGAGCTTTAGCGAAGTCGTTCTCACTAAACTCAAGCTGTTGGTTGGGATGGGATTTCATTGGTATCCTCATTACTTATAGCTATGGGCGAAATCAAAGGATCGCCGGCACTCACTTTTCTGTTGAAAAACTTAATTGAGTGTTATTGCGGCCTCAGTACCTCTCACGCGCGGCGATGGCCCTTCCATTGAGATAGTACAGTTACGGCCCAACCCGTCCTTCCACCGCTTGTAGTGTTCATATCGAATCCTACATTAATCCATGGACTTCGCCGTTGAAATGGTTAATCTTACAACTTACAGCCTCGTCCTTGCCGCGCGAGACGATGGCTGACTTCATTTGATTGATCCCAATCATATGACACACTTCAATTGAAATAAGAAATAAGGTTTCGACGACAGAACTTATCTCATCCTCACGTGCAGTTGGATAACTTTACGAATCATCTCTCTTTCGCACCATGCCTCAAGCTAAGCGTCAGAAAACTATGCATCCAACTGCTGATCAACGCTCTGGTTCAAGTCTCCATTCTGAACAGAACAGTGACAATTCTGTTAGCCTCAGAATAAGTCCTGAACCAGATCTTCCGCGCAAAAATTCAAGAAATATTCCAGGTTTAGGAGATACGGAAAGTCAAGATCAGAATGCACCAGGTAACTTAGTGAATAAAATTGCATTTGACGTGGTAATGACAAATATACAGGTCAGCAAAGAACCGAACTGCATGTGTTTGAGCAAGCCACAAGCAACAGCATTATAAATTCACACATCAACATTGTTGGCAGAGATCAGAATGTCAATAACTATTACAGTAAGAATCTCTAGAAGATGATATAGATTAATATTCATGTAATCACCAGATCAAAGTGAGCTTGCTATCCTCAAGGAAAGACTGGGTCCCATCTTGCATCCTGCAAAGAAAACTTATCAATGTATGGATGGAACCCGAGTAAAGCTACTTGATGACCTAGAAAAATGGGCTAATGGTGCTCAAAGTGGACTTGCCTGGATCTCAGGCATAGCTGGCACTGGTAAAAGTGCAGTGGCAGTATCCCTAGCTTCCAAGACCAGAAAGAATTTGAGCAGCAGCATTTCTCTTGCATTGGCCTTCCACTGTGTCAAGGGCCAGGAGACCAGTAGATTATCTTTATTGGTGCCAACAATCTGTTATCAATTGGCAAAAACATGGCCAAACTATGGAAAAACCTTGCTCAATATTTTTGGTCAAGACCACTCTCTACATGCTCCAGACTTACCACTACAGGAGCAATTGGATATCTTTCTAAATCCAGCCAATTTTGAAAATTCAATAGACAAAAAGACTATGATAATAATTGATGGTCTTGATGAATGGGGAGCAGAAGATGAGCGTAAAATATTGCTTGAGGGCTTAGTGAACCTTTGTGATGGAGTATCCATAATAAAATTAGTCATTACTAGCAGACCATATCCAGACATAAAGGAGGCCTTGGACTCTTCCTCTGCTGTGAATTTTGATCTTACAACAGGATATGAAACCAACTCTGACATTGAATTATTGATTGAATCAAAATTCAAAAAGAACAATTTTATTACTCCTGAAGAAAGAGGCATGCTAGTCAGAAAAGCTGATGGTCTGTTCATCTGGATTGTAACAGCACTGACCTACATAGACAATGGAATGAATAAGAAAGCCAGATTGGATATTATTCTTGGCATCAAACAGAGACATGAGGGAAACAGAACTGCATATCAACAGCTGTATGATTTATATAGCATGGTATTGAAAGAATCTTTCTCTGAGGAGGACAACTGTGAATATTTCAAGGTAGTGATGAGTCTACTACTGGTTGCCATAGAACCTATATCCACTGCAACATTGATTCAGTTGTTGAATGTTCAAGGCACAATGTCTCATGTAGTTGAAAATGTTTTGAAGAATCTTCAAGCAGTGGTTTATGAACATGATGGAAGACTTTACAATCATTTGTCTTTCAGAGATTTCATCATTTCAAGAGATGACTCAGGAAGATGGTTTATCAAACAAGAGGATGGGCACATGATAATGTCCAAAATATGTATGAAAGTGTTGAAAAGAGAGCTTAAATTCAATATTTGCAATTTGGAGAGCTCATATCTGAAAGATGCAGAGATTAGTAATCCTCCAATGGAGGAAAGAGTTGAAAAGTATATTTCACCTCAACTAAAGTATAGTTGTTTGCATTGGAGCAAACACATAGTGAAGGGAGCAAACAATCAGAGCCTTAAAGAAAGTGTTAAAGTTTTTGTGACACAAAAGTGGATGATATACTGGATTGAATGTTTGAGTGTGTTGAACAAGCTAGATATATATAACGATTGCTTTAAACACATGAGAGAGTGGACAAATATATCCAAAGTAAGTATTCCAAATTGCAAGCAATATGGAAGAACTAATCACTTCTGGTTAGGAAGATGATGGTGACTTCAAGTTACTCCTAAATGTAATTCAAGGCCTGATAGATAGATACTTCACAGCAATCAATGAGAGTACTCCACATCTGTACATATCAGCTCTTCCTATGATAAGGTATGATTCAGGGTCATATCAGATGCACTTGACAAAATGTGTCAAGATAAAATATGGCCAGGCAAAGGATTTGTCAAGAGCAGTGAAAATATTAAATTATGGAACTGGAATATGGAGTTTTAAATATTCTCCTAGTGGCAGACACATAGCTTCTGGATCTTCAGACAAGACAGTCAGAATATGGGACTCTCAGACTGGACAGCCAGTGGGCCAGCCTCTGCAGGGCCACACTGACTCTGTTTTGTCAGTGGCATACTCTCCTGATGGCAGGCACATAGCTTCTGGATCTTCGGATAAGACAGTCAGAATATGGGACTCTCAAACTGGACAGCCAGTGGTCCAGCCTCTGCAGGGCCACACTCATCCTGTTAAATCGGTGGCATACTCTCCTGATGGCAGACACATAGCTTCTGGATCTTCAGACAAGACAGTCCGATTATGGGACTCTCAGACTGGACAGCCAGTGGGCCAGCCTCTGCAGGGCCACACTCATTCTGTTTG